GTGAGGTCATATGATACATGTCTTTCTCTGATTGACTTATTTCACTCAGCATAACACCCTCCAGTTCCATCCACGTCGTTCATACATTTTCTCCTAACTGTAGGGATGTCCGGTCTCAATCCAAGGAAGCATGAGTGGTACTGGAGATGCACACTATCCACACCCATGACTTTTGCCCTCCAAAAAGAAATTTAGTTTTTCTCACAGGCCATTACTTTCCACAGAAAGAGAGGGGAAACCCTGTTCAAAGTCTTTCTTTTGTGTAATGCTTCCTGTTGGCAATACACTTGTCCAAATACTTGTTCCTTGAGAACTCTATTCACCTGGCTTTGTCTCCTAAGATAAGCATCTACCAATCATGTTACATGATGTCAATCACATATAGTCACAGAAAGTGGCCACTGTCCTGGCCCTTATTAGAATTTTCCATTAAAATGGCTCCCTGCATAAAGCTACCCCACAGGCTTCCATTAAGAAAAAAATTTTTTTTTTATGAAAAAGAAATTTTTTTTCACTTAAAGCATGTGGCATTCTTTGGAAGTGCAATTGTCCCCAGTAAAGGTTACACGTTAAACCACTTTTCCTGAAGCCAAAGGGCAGTAGAAGGATCCAGAAGGTCTCTGGATCTGTTTTTACATCAATAAAACAATTGCCCCGCCTTCCTAGATTTTTGTGAAGGTCACAAAAGTATGTCAGTACTTTACATATTCTATATGTACAGTCCTTTTAAGTACAGTCCTTTTAAGTACTACCCCAAAAATGAGGCTCCTTATTAAAACAAAATGGGAAGACAGAGACCCAGGCGCTGAGGAAGTGAAGCAAGAGTGAATCCGAAAGGTCTGACAACGTGTGGAAAGCACCTCGTGAAAGGGCTGTCCAGCTGAGCGCTAACATGCAAGGCCCGTCACTACTGTGATGGAAGAAGCGGCCTGATCCTGACCCACCCTAGTGGCGGGGGAAGGGAGGGGAAGGGAGGGAGTCCTGCACACTCGCTGGGGAGAAGGGGAAGAAGCGGGGAAGGCGGACCGTGTGGGAGCCACCCAGAGAAGGAGGGGGGGGCATCTCGCCGAGCCTAGCCCTGGGTAGATAACCCGGGGCGGAGCTCTGATAGCGCTTATCACACCCTATCGTACCGGTCCAGGTGTGTCGCTTTGGCCTTCCCAAACTAAGCTTGGCAAATATTTGCTGAACGCGTGAGTCCTCCTGACGGGAGATAGCAAAGTCTGCAGCACATCTGAGACACAGGGCATCCCGGGGACCAGGGGCCCACAGAGCGTGCGAGCAGAACGTGGGGCCTGCACTCCAAACAACCCGGGCCCAGAAACCACCTGACGGGACCCAAGACTACCCGGGCCCCCTCCTCCGGCCCGCACGCACCTTTCACCCAGGGGGCCTGTCAGTCGCCACCTTCCTTCCCGCGTCTGCAGCGAGACTTAAGCTTTGGAGCATGCGTAGCTGACGGACCCGGGCTGGCCGCGCGTCCGGTCGGCAGTTGCGCTTCAACTGTCAGCGCATTCGAGCAATCAGAGGATGTGTTGATTTCATGGAATCCCGCCCCCCACGGGGGACTATAGCAACCGAAGGCCAATCAGGCGGCGTGTTGTTGCCGCGGAGCCCCGCCCCCGTCAGGGGCGCTGGGTGACGGGCGAGGGTCAAGGGGTGTAAACGCTTCTGAGCTACTGAGCCTCGGAGGGCCGCGGCATCTCGTTGCCCCGCGGCCGCGAGCAGCGCGCCCGACCCCACACTCGCGGGCCCGCCCAGCGTCAGGAGGCGGCGCGGCCCATGCGGCTGGGGGCGGAGGCCGGAGCGGGCACGGGCTGGGCGTCTCAGGTGCCGCTGGCTGCCCGGAGAGGTGAGGGGGCGGCGGCGGGGCCCGGCCCGGCCCCGTGATTGGCCGCTGGCTGAGGGCAGCGGGGCGGCCTGGAGGCGTCCCGGGCGGGGAGCAGCCGGCGGAGCCTTCCGCACGCGGCCCCGGCAAGATGCTGCTGTCCCTGGTGCTCCACATGTACTCGATGCGCTGCGTGCTGCCGGCCGCCGTGCTCCTGGGCACTGCCCCCACCTACGTGCTGGCCTGGGGGGCCTGGCGGCTGCTCTCCGCCTTCCTGCCCTCCCGCTTCTACCAGGCGGTGGACGACCGGCTCTACTGCATCTATCAGAGCATGGTGCTCTTCTTCTTCGAGAACTACACCGGCGTGCAGGTGAGGGGCACTGCCCGCCCTCCGCTCCCATCTGCCGCACCTGCCTCCCCGCTCTCCACCCGGGTCCCCGCTGGGAACCCTTCACCCCGCGCCCCGTCCCCCACCCCAGGGTACTTTAGGATCGTTCAGCTCTGCGTGGCAGATCCGGCCCCAAGAACACGTGCCATCACCCTATCCTCCCACGGCGAGGGAAGTTTCACGTTCTTAGGTAGGGTTTGGTCCGATACTTCCTTGCAGGTACCCCAGGATCGCTAGGAAGCTGTGGTCGTGTTGTTCTCAGGCCACAAGTTGGATCATCCGCCCCGCTCTCCCCACCTGTCTCGGTGCTTTGCTAAGTAGGTGCAGATGAACACTTAAGTAGGGCAAGCAGTTGACAAGTTTTTGGCGTTTGGTCTCAGAAGATTGGTAATGTTTGAAGTCAAAAGGGAGCTTTTAAAAGATCGGAGCCTCTTGAAACAGGTGAATGTTACTGTTTGGACAATAAGTACAACTTTGTTTTGCGTTCTTCCCCAGTATAAGTGAAAGCTGGATGAGGAAATTAATACATTTGTTACTGTAGAAGCCTTACCGTAGATAAAATTCTTGCCAACTTATACTAGGCTCAAATGTGCGGCTAATTTTTTGTCTGATGACTTTCTGTTACTTTTTCTGTAGAGACTGGATCTGCAGATTAAATTTGTAAAAAAAAAAAAAAGAAAAGAAAAGTAGAAGACCCCCTTTAGTTATTTGAAGTTTCTTTTACAAAAACAACAATTGCGAATTTTCCTTTTATTTCCCAATTTGAATAAAAGAGCTTGACTCTTGGTTATTCCTTATATCCAATTAGTCCTCTTTTTTTTTCTTTTTTCTTTTCTTAGTCGGGGTTGGGTTGAAGGGAATGGGATGGCATTGGTTTTGTCTTTTTGTCTTTTTCTTTTTTTTTTCCTCGAGCAGCTGTTTTCACCCTGTTGTCAACCAGCTACTATTTTCAGTTTGCAGTTGCACTGCTGTGGATCCCTGATGACTCTGAGTTTGCCCCAGTTGGAGGTTGTTTGGGGGAAGGGAAGTAGGAGAAGCCAGGGCCTGCATTTAAACCGGTATCTGTAAGTGCTTCCTAGAAAAGAAAGATTGCTTTTCCAGATCATGGTTTCCTGTTAATTGACTTTTAAAATGGGCTTCATTTAAAATTTTCACTAATTCAGGTCAATCGTTTCACCCCCTTTGCTCTTATTTCACTGCCTTTGTCTAAGTGTATGTTTTGTCATGATTAAATATTTAATTTCACATCAGATGACAGCTGACCTGGACTAGGATATAGACAGAACATAGGACAGAGTCAATTACCTTTTAGGAAAATAATACTACCTCTGGTGGATTATTTCATTTTTGTTCAAAGAATATAGCATGTTCCCTGCAATATAATGTATAATATACCAGTGAAGTACTATGTGTTTAGCAAGTTTCTTATTTTAAAAATGATTGTAAAATTTCAGTGTTTCTAAATTGTATGTTTTACCTTATACCCTGTTCATTGTAGACCTCCAGTTTAATTTTTGAGTTCTCAGCACATGGTTTTTTAAAAAATTGAATCTGTTGATCATCAGTGGACAGTGAGTTCCAGAATTCCTAACAAACTTTAAAGAACACACATTAAATAAAATTTTGAATGACACTTGAGGGCCATCAGATATCCTTTTATAAATGCATGAATGACAATATCCAGGATAATAAAGGAAAGGGAATTTATCTATAAGGACATTCTGTCACCTTATTCTTAGTTTTACTTACTAGTTTTCATCAGTGACTTTGTCATTGTAAAATTTTGATTAACATTTTGTCTTGTTTTTCTTATTTTGCTAGGGGACTTTTTTTTTCTTGAATTGTTTTTCACCTCTAATTTGCAAAGAACAGAGATGATCCTCATCTTTGTTCTGTATAAAAGAATGTTGATTCATTTCTGAAGAAGTGTTAGTAATTTAAGTGTTTGGATGAAAGGAAGTTCACCATTAAATTATATACATTGTAGAGTTATATTTAAATTAGAATTTTTTCCACCCCCTTCCATTTGGTGACCACCAGTTTGATCTCTGTATTTATGGGTTTCTCTTTTGTTTTGTTTTTTAGATAACCCATATAAAGTGAAACCGAATGGTATTTGTCTGACTTATTTCACTTAGCAACCTTCTAGATCCATCCATGTTGTCTCTGATGCCAAGATCATTCCTTTTTATGGCTGGGTGATATTCCAGTGTGTGTGTGTGTAGCACGTCTTCTTCATCTATTAGTGGACACTTAAGTTGCTTCCACATCTCAGCTATTGTGAACAATGCTGCAGTAAACACAGGAGTACATGTATATCTTTTTGATTAGTGTTTTTGTTTTCTTTGGGTAAATACCCAATAGTGGAATTACTGGATCAGGTAGCATTTCTATTTTTAATTTTTTGAGGAACTTCCGCAGTGGCTGCACCAATTTACGTTTCCACCAGCAGTGCATGAGGGTTCCCTTTTCTCCACATCCTTTCTAAATGTCTTTCTGATACTAACCATTCTGACAGGTGTAAGGTGATAACTTATGGTTTTGATTTGCATTTGCCTGTTGATTAGTGATGTTGAACATAAATTAGAATTTTTTTAAATGGAATTTTTAATGCTTTTTAATTCTAGGTTTTAAAAAAGAAATGGCTCATAGTAGTGTAACAGAATATTTTTTTATGTATATAATTTTTAAGCTGAAGAGAAGTAGGTCCATGAAGTTGATGATCTGTGTTTGGCAGGTAAGCCAGTTCATCATGTATACTTGAATGTTCCATTGGATTCTAGCTAAATATCTGTTCTTTCCTATTTCCACTACTTCATTTTCACACACGTTTTTGACACAGAGCATTTCAATCGCTGTTGCTAAAATTTTCGTTTATAATTTATTTTTTTAGGTTCTAGAATTTTATTAGTACTGAAACAAAAAAGGGTACCTTCACCATTTACTTTGGAATAAGCAATAAGGATTTTAAAAGTCTCATTTATCTCTCTTAATTTGAGACCCATTGAAAATCAACACACACCTCCTTATTATTTTGGGGCACACGGATTCAAATAACTATTTCTTTTCGATTGCTGCCATAACAAATCACCCCAAATTTAGTGGCTTAAAACAAGAGAAATTTATTCTTACAGTTCTAGAGGCCAAATGTCTGAAATCGAGGTGTTTGTTGGCCTCTACTCCCTCTTGAGGCTCTAGGGCAGTCTTGTCTTTGGCTCTTTCAGCTTCTAGTGGCTGTGGGCATTCCTTGACTTGTAGCCATATAATCCACAATCTGCCTCTGTGATCTCATTTCCTCCTCCTCTTCTGCCTGTGTCGGATCCCCCTCTGCCTTTCTTTTATAAGGACACTTGTCATTGGGTTTAGGGCCCTCTCAGATAATCCAGGATGAGCTCCCCAAATCAGAATCCTTAGCCCAAGACCCTTTTCCCAAGTAAGGTCACATTCATAGGTTACAGGCTTAAGACGTGGACGGTCTTTTGTGGGGGTCACCATTCAACCTAGTAGCAACTTAGTCCTGCTTATTCTTGGAGCTGGAGTTTAAGGAAAATTTGTGGGAAGGTAAAAAGAAAGGGGCATAACTGGCAGAGGCAGCAGTGAGCATTCCTGCAGGATGGACAGTGATGCAGTTACTATAACCTCAAGGTGAGGGGAAATCAGATTTACCATAATTTCTATCGTAGGATGCTGTCCTGAAGGTTGAGATTTCTGCATAAACAATAATTGTAACAGTTAATGATAGGTAATGAAAAATCTTAACATGTTGTTTTGGAAGCTGTTAAAAGTTAATGTATTTTTTTTTCTAAATATCAGAATTCCTTTCTCATTATTTTCAAAAGGAAAAGTTCTCTTTTTTTCCTCCTTCCAATGGAATGAACTAAAAACTGATCATTGATATTTGCAGGGCAAAAATATCTAGTGATATAATACATGCCTCCTTATTAACATCTAATAAATATTTTAATCAGATTTTTTTCCTGCTTAAATCCTTTTGTAACACTTGGAATTTACTTTAAAATGTATTTTACATTAATGGCCCTGTCTTCTAATTGGCTCTTCCTCAAATGCTAACATGATAGAACAACAAAATGTGGACTTTGAGAGAAGATAAATTTAGTTTTTCAACTGACCTACTTCAAGTATAAAATAGTTCAAAAAACACTGGAAACAAGATAACAGAATTTAAGCCTAAGATTTTGATTTTTTTAATATGTTCAGTTAGAATACTCTTAACTTCTCTAATAATTCATACTTTTAATTGAAACATTGTTTCAAGTTCCTCAGGAATAACCAAGGCATTCATATCTGGAGACATCTCGTTTATAACTGGTTCTTTCTATAGCACTGTTTCATCAAACATAATCCTAGACTCTCAGTTAAATTTGTATTCTGTATCTTGTGGCTAAAGGCAGCTAAACTATTCGAATAAAACATGTTTATTTAGAATGGGAGAAGGGACCTTAAAGGTCCACCTCCTTTTTACCACATCTGGATTCTGTCTGCATTTCTGCTAAAACGTTGCCCAGAGTCTTCTTGAATATCAGTAGTCCTAAAGAGAATATAAATACTTTGTATCCTTTATTTCCTTTTTCTCTGCTTATTTATCATCTATGTGAAGACCTTAGAAGACCTGAGATTACTTCCTTCAGTTTAGCTGGGCCCAGCAAGACAGAGCCAGGCAGATTTGGTTGTGCTTCTGCATGTGTGTGTTTAAGAATGACAACAGCCTTTCATAGAGGAAATTAATTTCTCAAATCAGATAGGATTCCAGTCTAACACGTTTTAAGTCTGTCCAGGGAATAGACTTATAGGAAAATTTTAGAGAACTGTAATTAGAACCTTGTTTTTATACTTTCTATAAATAAAAATCCTTGATTGAGCAAGCAGTTTTTTTTTTGGGGGGGTTGCATTGGTGTAAGATTCCTTTTAATGTCTTATTTTTCTATTTTAAATCACAGATGCAAAAAAAAATTCAAACACTG